CTGTGGCGGGGGAAGGGAGGAAGGGGGGGTTAGTGTAGCACCGGCCTCTCTCTCTCTCTCTCTCTCTCTCTCTCTCTCTCTCTCTCTCTCTCTCTCTCTCTCTCTCTCTCTCTCTCTCTCACCCTAACCACTTCTATATTTATTACTTCAATTTATCATCACGTGGCTTAGCTATGCGCTGACTTATAATGTATAACGTTATTTATTAACATATGAGAAAATTATGCTCTATGAAGAACAGAATAAAAATATATACCGATAGGTCTCACCAACAGCTACAGCTTGGTGGAGCAACACTTTATTATTCAATAGATCAGGGGTTCTGGGGTGGACGCCAGGGGTCGCAGAGGGCGTTATAACCCACGAACTTATCTTATCTTATCTTATCTTATCTTATCGAACTTATCAGTCTTGGGGACCGAGGAAAACAAGAAGTGTTGACCATAACAGTACGGATGTTATGTTGATTGTGTGCAGTGAGCATGTAATCTTCTTGAGGTTATCTTGAGGTGATTTTGGGTCTTTTTTTTTTTTTTAGTGTCCCCACGGCCCGGTCCTCGACCAGGCCTCCACCCCCAGGAAGCAGCCCGTGACAGCTGACTAACACCCAGGTACCTATTTTACTGCTAGGTAACAGGGGCATAGGGTGAAAGAAACTTTGCCCATTGTTTCTCGCCGGTTTCTGGTCAGCTAGTACTAATGGAAGTTTTGAAAATGGTGGCCGTGTGTGGCTAAGGAATATGATAGGTGACATTTTTCACCTTTTTGAAAGTTTCAGCATTTCTTAGAATACGAGAAAGAAACCATTTGCAAACTTTCACTACAACATTATGTCATCTTTCTTGAATATTTTTAAACTTTTCCTGGGTTATAAAATTGTTTTGTCTATTAGTTGCCAGAAGTGTTGAAAATTCGTAACCAAAGTAAACTTTCTCCCGGGGCAGATATATGGAGTTGTAGTCCAAATTAACATGAAGCTTTGCGTGATGAGGATGCACGATTCTTCTGAGTATTCCAAGAGTGAAGTTTTCTAAGTCAGTGTGACGGCTATACTGATCTGCTTCATATTTTTCGTAAAGTAAATTCATACTTTCAAAATCATTTAGGATTGGTTTGAGAAATGTGAAATGTAGCTTATTGGGGGATCAGACTAAATTGAAAATAGTTGACTTGCAACGTATTTATCACAAGAGGAAGAAGCAATTTGGTAATGAGTCGTTAAAGAATCCCACTGATCTAACAGCCGCTTTACACTACCGCTCCTTGCCAACCATCGTCTTCCTGACAAAGGTGTTAACTGTAAGGGATCTTTCCCATCATTTATCAATCTGTAAATTTCTAGATAACTTTCTCTCCTTAATAAAGATCTATGGAACCAGGTTGTAGCTTTTGGGATGAAGTATTAATGACACTTAAGGTTTGGACATCTATAGCCCCTGGGGAGGATTACCTTGCCTTGCGGTTACTTTTTCTTTCGAAGGTTCCTACGATCAACGCCCCCAAGGGCCCGGTCTCTGACCAAGCCTCCTGCGGTAAGTGGTTAAGTCAATCAGGCTGTTGGACGCGACTGTGATTTGTACACATTTCATTATAAAAAAATAAATATACATCAATGAGTTTGTTAACATTAATAGCCCAACTTGCTTTTAAATTAGCCCAAAAAGTCGCAAGTAGCGAAATTAAAAATTTGGGAGCGCGGGGACTCTCAAAAGTAGCCCAATTCGCTACTTGTAGCCCAATCTGGCAACCGTGCCCAGCGGTCCGTGGTGGGCGCGCTCACCCGCGGCACCGACCTTCCTCTGGGAGGGAGGACTGTCCGCAATATTGTTTGATTAATTTTATTGTCTTCACACATTGTTGAGCAAAGTGTGATATAACATAATTATATATAAGATTTAAAGATTATAAGTAGTGCTTGATAGTCCCATTAATTCTTATTAAGGACTTGCAGTACCCGGCGTTGCTGTGGCTCAGCAACGTATGTGCGTTACTGAGCCACAGCAACCTTCCCTGTCCCTTTGTCCTCCCCACCATTCTCCATTCCCCCATCCCCTCGTGTCCACCATCCCAAACTCCCCTGTCCCCTCGTCCTTCCCCACCATTACCCCCTCCCTTGTCCCCTCGTCCTCCCCACCATCTCTCACTTCCGTCCCCCAGTCCTCCCCACCATTCCCCACTCCCTCGTCCGATGCCTTCCCAAATGGTCTGATGTTCCCATCAGAAAATTGGGAACATCAAGTGATCTGATGTTCCCATCACTGAAATATAAGAAAAAATAAATAAAAAAATAAAATGAAAATAAAAAAATAAACTATACTCACGAAATGAACGGTATGGTAAACAACACAGCTCAATTCCAATGCAATTCACACAAAATAATGAAATAAAAATAAAAATAAATAAAAATCTATGAAAATTCAATTTATCAATGCAATCAGAATGATTGAAATGGAATTGTAACATATTTAGTATAGCATGTGTGTTGCTCTTACATGCAACAGATGGCGCTGTTTGTCAAGAAAAGCCTAGTTTTACCTGTCACAGTTGTGGCATCTATACTTATACTCACGAAATGAATGGTATGGTAAACAACACAGCTCAATTCCAACACAATGTCACACAAAATAATTCAATAAAAAATAAATAAAATCGAAATCTATGAAAATAAAATTTATCAATGTAACCGGAAACATTGTAATGGAATTCATGACATATTTAGTATAGCGTGCATGTTGCTATTATGTGCAACAGATGGCGCTGTTTTTCAAAAAACGCATGTTTTTACCTGTCACAGGGGTGGCATCTATATAGTAGGTATATAAAAAGACGCGCCCTATTTCAATGCAACGTTATGTCAAAATTTCAAAGCAATAGGTAAAGAGGTTTCAAAGATTTCCCTCACATGAAAAACAGTTTTTCAGAAAAAAACATGTTTTTTACCGTCACAGACGTGACATAGTATGTATATAAAATACATACTATATACATACTATATAGTATGTATATAAAAACCTGCTCGGATGCGAATGGAACGTTGTGTGAAAATTCCAACGCAATCGGTGAAGAACTTTCGGAGATTAGCGATTTTGAACAAACGAATATTTCCATTATTATTTATATATATTGATTTAATCCTCGCCGGACATTGACTTCATGTTCCAATTCTTTTTTAAGATTACATGTACAAAGTCACGTAGACATTGGGCTCCATGGCAGATGTCACCTCTGTGGCATTGTCATCATGGATCTATATGTAGGATACAATATAATGAGTCTGATGTGAAAAATAGATAGAATATAGAAATAATAATTTCTTAGTTAATGTTTGATTTAGTGGGTATAAATTCCCACACAACTGGAGATTTAGCTGTGATGAACATTGTAAGTAGTGAACTTGTAGCTTCGGTTCTTCAGCTGGTACCAATATAATCAAATCAATAATGATTGTAATATAGTTGTTCATACGAGAATATCAGAGCAGAAGAAGATTAATGAAGCTAATCTTCATTAATCAACCATCAACACCACACACACACACACACACTACCCCTACACCATACCACACTACCCCTACACCACAAAACACAACCCCTACACCACACTACACAACCCCTACACCACACTACACAACCCCTACACCATACCACACAACCCCTACACTACACCACACAACCCCCTACACCACAGCACACAACCCCCTACACCACACCACACCACCCCTACGCCACACTACACAACCCCTACACCCGACCACACAACCCCTACACTACACCACTCCACACCCACACTACACAACCAACACGCCACACCACCCCTAAACCACACTACCACACCACCACTACCACCACACTACACAACCAATCCTCTCAAATAAAACATCATATTTTGACGTCAAAATACCCAACGTCAAAATATGAAGTACTATCAATCAGAGCGGATCACAGAACTGACGGAGGGACAACCCTGCGTCCATTGGTCAGGTTAGGTTGTGTTCCAACCATTTACTATATCACTTATACTATGTGTGACTACTGGAGAGGACGGACTGCACTACCACCTCACACCACCACACCACCACCTCACACCACACTACACCACCACACACCACACCACCACACACCACCTCACACCAAGACACACCACACCACACTACACCACCACACACAACCACACACCACCACACCATGCAGCATCATAAGTATTGTGGAGGTAATATTCACAAGAGGACACGAGCAAACACAAGAGAAAGAAGACAAAATTATGAAGAAAAAGCAGACCATAATAATATTAATAACAAGAAGAAGAAGAACATGAAGATTAAGAAGCAGAGGCAGAAGCAGAGAAACAAAAAGAGGATGTCGGAAAATCCGACACCATTTAATATCATACAGATAATAGCTGCTGTATTACCAACAAGTTACCCATAGAAAACGTAACTTGTAGTGGAATTACCGTCTAAAGAAAACGGGATATCATCACCACATACCATTATAAATTGACCAGCTATTCTGCTGGGAATTATTCTTAAATACATAAGTCTTTGGACTTTACCATCATAAAAACATCTTATATAAATTAACTTAATTATCAATATTAAAGTAGAGTAAATGTGACCCTTCTATCACGTTCTGAAATCTGGACAATGTAAGCCAGGCGTCAGAGTGGAGGAAGGAGGGCAGCCATTGTTGTTTATACGAGACCAGAGGCTCACACGGGAGCAAATTCGGCTCCTGTTAATTTTACTTGGACGTAGTGTTATGGATACCAAAGGTGTACCATCTGTCAACACGCTGTCAACAAATCAAGTTAAGTCTATCCGAAACCCGTTTATCATTCATTTATGGCCATTAATGTCAGGATATAGGGTGACCCGGTTAGATCGCAAAATCGCCTCAAACTAAAGGTAATTAAGCCAGGTCTTCATGTTCCATGTACTGTTTTCTCTGATATACTTGTCATATATAGGTATCTGGCTTCACAGCTAGCGCACTTTTGACAGG